ATGGTTTAATTGGAGCTCAGCCTAATAATGCCAGCCCTCTGTGTGAATTGCAAAGCTAGATGACAATTAATAATCTTGTAGCAACTGATCTAAGTTAGCTAATATTAACCTAATTTAAGTCTGGGGATCTTTATATCTCTCAGTGAAATCAAATATATACACAAATGGACTCATTTAAAAAATTTCAATAGATCCCATTTTGTTTCAAGTTGTCATGCCATACCATATATAAAAGTCTTTTATAGGACCCATGTTACTTCTTGCCCCCTAAGAAGCCTAGTCCTTTAAGAAGTTGAACCAGAGACACTGGACCCCAAAAGTAGCTCCTCTGTTGTTCTTGCCATATTTTACTTCCTGTTTGATTTGGCTTGACAACTCCCTGCCTTCAACTTGCATGTCCCAGGCGATTTGAAATTCCTGCACAATTCCTAGCCCTACCACTGCTACTGTTCAGTTCCTGATGTATTTAGGTCCCTTGACTGTGTGGATTTCTCTCCTTTTCCACTTTGTTTCTTAAAAGTGTAGCTATAAGCCTGGATTCAGGCTTGTGACCTTCTCACTGGTTAGCTGTACTTGTCAAACCTAAGCTTCCCTAAGTGTGCTGTTTGGTGGACTGGCTATTGCATTTTCCTGCTTATACTTTGCTTGAAAGGGCTCCCCGACTGTAGCTGACCTGAACACCTGCCCATCTATGTCAGAGGTATTTTTCAGCTCTGGCACTGAACAAATATCAAGAAAAAAACCACATCAGTCAGAATCAATGAACTCCTTTGAGAATTTGCATTCATGGTGTCAGATTCTTTATTAGTTAAATTTCTTGGTGGCAAAAAGCAGTACTTTATCTTTTCCTAGGATAAGCAAAGGTATTGATGTAATTAAAGGTATTTGGGTATCCTGTGGAACTCAAAGAGAGGAAAGTGGCTGGAATTCATGAATAACTTGATCTGACAGCTTAAAATTTTCAGTATTGTCTGATTTTAGCTTCTCTACAATTAACTTTATGCTTCCCTCTTGCTGTAAACTGGCTTTCTCCACATAGAAGAGAATGTAATATAAAATGCAAACCATTTATATCTCATAGTTTGGTTCACCTAAGAGAGATTGGTTTTTTTAATCCTTTATAGTTTCAAAAATCCTTTTCTATATTTATATAAAGATAAGCCTTGAAGCTTCTCATTGAAAGATTTTTTTTCAGGGGCACCTGATGGTTCAGTCAGCTGAGCAGCTGACTCTTGATTTCTGCTCAGCTCGTGGTCCCAGGGTCATGGGATCAAGCCCCGCATCTGGCTCTGTAATGAACATGGAACCTGCTTAAGATTCTCTCTCTCTCTCTCTCTCTCTCTCTCTCTCCCTCTCTCCCTCCTACCCTCCCTCCCTCCCTCCACTTTTCTAAGCCCCTCTCCCCGACTTGTGTTCTCTCTCCCTCTCTCTCAAAGTAAAAATCAATTAAAAATAAAAATTTAGAAAATTTTTTTCATATTTGTTAAAAAATCTTTTTCCATTTAATGGAAATCAACATATTGAAGTGGGACACTGGAATCTGCTAAGTCATCAGTTTGATTTAGGAGTTCAATTAAAAAGAATACTCAGTATGGAAGGAGACTATGTGTACAGCCGGCCAGTAAGAATTGTGAAGATAAAGCTTAGTGAGAACCATCAAAGCAACTAGGGAACTGGTTTAAAGAATCCAAAGCCAGACCTGATCAAACTAGGCATGGACTCACATGATTTCAAATGTGAGAAAAGAAACAGAAGCCAGGATGAGCCATGGGGAGAGCTGAAATTCACAACTGGTGACAGGAGCACACTCATGGGCCATACTTAGAATTCGACTGTACTCTGTCATCACTTGAGATTTTTATTGTCCGCTGATGTATTTCATTGAATACCTTAAATATTCCAAAAAGCTTCTGTGAAAACAGTCTGGGAGTGCTGTGAGGCTCCTAGAACAGAGCAATAGGAGGTCTGATCTTCAGAGAGCCAGATGTAGCAGCACAGTGGGATACAGAACAGCCAACCATGACATCTCCTTGGCATTCATGCCTGGGATTTGCCAATGTCAGATGTATGTGCTGTATGTGTATATTCACACAATCCATACATTTTGTTTGATCATGCATTTTTAGTGACAATAAAAGATGCAGACATTAATGGAGGCTTCTGTATCTTTTTCACATCAAGAAGGAGCTTTCCACATAACACAGATTGTACTTCACAAACTTTACAGCCTACAGTTATGAAATAATCAGTATTTCATAAAAGCTGGAAAGTTAAGCAATAGGGACTTGTTAAGGAAAGATAGTTACAGTGGATAATCTGGAAAAGTAGTCGCAGTTTTGGTGGTAACATGGGAGATTTTGGAGTTATCCTAGAAATGCTTTCCTGAGCTTACAAAGAGCTGTTACTTTCCTTTATACCCTCACCTATACTTTACACCTGCATTCAGCCAATAATTCTTAAGTATTTGCTGAGTTCCTTTGGTGTAACCAAGAGCTGTGAAGAATTCTAGGAAAATACACAATCTTGTCATTTTTTTAAACATAGAGTCTGATTAGAAAACCTGAATTTATGTATATGAAAAGGAAAATAGCAGCATAAATGTATGAAAGGGATAAATGGCATCATATAGGAAATGGAGTTACATACAACATTTATTCCTAGACATGATCATATAATCTCTAAGAGGAAAAACAAAAGTAAGATGGATTGAATCATATCAATACATATTTATTGATCAAACTGCACTAAATAATAGGGGAAAATACAAGTCTTTGGTTTAATACTTGGAAAGCTTTCAGTCTGGTCAAGAGGCCAAGGCACAAAGATTTAGGGAAGTCCTGAGAAGCAATTAGAAAGCATAGAAGAAAGGAAGTCAAAACTAAAAAACAGAAGATGACAGCAACAGTAACCCTTCAGACTCAAACATCACCAGATTGCTTTCAATATCTGATATACAAGATTTTAAGTCAGCTCTTGCCTCCAGGGTGGTCTTTGCTTTGCCAGAACCTTCTATGCTGCTCTACCTAGAGATCTGAAGTCACTGCAGGATTCTTGCACCTGAGCTACCTAGATACTCAGATCGTGGAGCAACTTAGTGTGGAAAAAAATGGATTTTGAGGTCAGAAAGGCCAGTATTAAACCTCAGCTCTTATTTTCCCTGAGCCTCCATTTTCTCATGTATGAGATAATGATAATAATGTTTCATCACTATGGTTTTGTGGTGATTAAATGAGGATATATGTACATTTTCTTATACCTGAGCAACTAAAATACATTTAATAAATAGTAAGTCACATGGTCTAATCTTTAGTTTTCTTTAGTGTGATTGCAGCCACTATCATGGCTTTGAAATCTCTGGGGTGTAAACAGTTCACAAACCATTCAATAATATATTCTTACAGTGGTGTATCTATAGGGATGCTAATAATAATATATAATATTGATTCTGAAATGTAAGTTTACAAAGCACATTCAAATATATCATCTCACTTATTCTTCAAATGACTCTTTCAGAAGGTGATTATTTCAATGCCCATTCTACAAAGAAAGAAAATGAGACAAAGGGCACCACCAGAAAGTTGCTCAGCCCCCAAAACGTATAATCAGAAAGTTGCTAAAAACTTGAGCCCAGCTTCTCTAACTCCGAACCTCATGTTCTTCTTCCTACACCAGATGCCTCTTAATAAGCACTGCTTTTTGTTGTATGCAGGTGTTTAGGGTTTGTTTGTTTGTTCATTTGTTTGTTTTGGTGGAATCCAGTACACACTGTCTTTCTCCAAAGCTCCTATTCACCCTAAAGGTACTTGCTATTAGGAGTTAATGAAATAACTGTGAACATCTAGTTGGCGACTATGTACACATATAGACCAGGGTCATGTTCTCAATGCCCTGTGTGTGTTATGTTAAAACATGGAATTTTGTTTTGTAAAATCTTCTGGATTGCCATTTGTTTTATCATTCAATTAGGATTCCATAGGGACAGATTGACATTAAAAAGCTGTTAACTCTGTTAACTCCAGAGGGCACAGCTAATGAAATGTCCCAAAAGTTGAGCACTCACCAGAACCACTGTGTCTTGTAGGACAGCTCTCAATTAATCATGATGAGAGTATTTCTTCTATCTAAATGAAATCTGCAATTTGGGAAGGAGATTAAAGATCCTGCAGGGGATGAAGGAAAAGATGTTATGAAAATTCTAGAAACTAGAAAATAAAGATAGGTCTACTCAATATTCATGAAGTCAGATTGGTTGATGCAAATAGAGATTGCAGTCTCATTTTCTAATGACTTGGCTTTTAGCACTTCTGTATCAGTGTTACACAGATTCCAACCCAATTTTAAAGGGAATGACTACAGGTTGTACAATTTTTTTTAAAAAAAGGAAGTTTTGCAACCCATAATGATTTTATGCCACCTTTGACTAATTTTTAATTCTCTAGCTAAGGATTTCCAAGGTACGTGATCAGTAAGGCACAAATGGTGAAAGATACAGTACAGAATACATAATAGGTAAACATATATAAGATGTCAATGAGTGAATCTATTTCAACATATTCTCAAAAGGCAGTTTAAAGAGGAGGGTTACAAATATTGCTTTAGGTTAAATTTTACTCCCATGAAAGAAAAATTAAATTTATTTTGTACAGCCATTTTATAAAGAAATGTTATACATTTTTAACTCTCACTTAATTTATTACAAATTCTTACCTCATACACAGCTCAAATCCTCACCTCCTACTTTTGGCTAGAATTAAAAAGAAAATGAGAGTAAATTCAACTTCTTACTTCATTTCATTATGTAGTCAATGTAGGAAACAGATACTTGAAGGAAGGTGGTTTCAGGAAATGCCAAGGCATTTCATTTATCCCCTGAAACCCTGACATAGTGCCTGTACAGCTCAAGAAATACTGTTGAACTCTTAAATACGTTTAACAGATCCTATCTCAGAATAGACTACTTGTTATTTAAATTGTTTTTTTTTCTTGTTTCTCTTTTTTAGGCCAGCCCTGCTCCTATAATTGTCAACACAGATACTTTGGACACGATTCCTTATGTAAGTAACGTTTTTATTAAGACTTTCTTTAAAAATTATGTTAGAATTTAATCAGCTAAATTTAAAAATCAATACATATTCAGTACTACCCAATCTCAATAATCTTATGAAGTGTATAGAAAGAGTTTTGTGAGTTTTGTTTTAATATTTGCTAAATCTCAGCTTAGTTATGGAAAAAGTTTTTCTCTTTCATTCATTGTTTTGCAAAACATAAGGGCCTATCAGGAGAAAAAAAAGCCCATTGTATTCAAATAATGTTAGTTTCCTGACTGGTTCCCTGAAAAGATACTGAATTGCTTATAGAAGATATGTAAACTAGGAATCATCAAATCAATTTCTCTAGTAGCACCTAGGACATAAGTCAGCTATCAAACATTTCATGGATTTTGCTGGGCTTCTAAGAAGAGTTGGAACAAATTTTTGTAAGGGTGTAGTCTATCTGTATATAATGACAGGTGTGGTCTTGTGAAAGCCTGCAGCATGAGATAAATACTAGGATCAGACAGATCGGTAAAGCCTGGGATTCTGTACCTGTAGTACAACCACTATAATGGCCAAATTCTTGACAACAAAGTTTAACTAGGAAGGGCAGATTGGAGGGCGGCAGCAGGCCACAAAGTGGGTGAGTGGTTGACATTTTGGAGGTGCGACGAGGCTTTATGAGTGTCCCTAGCTAATGGATAGACAGTAGTGATTTGCAAAGGTGGGACAGACACAGGCGTGTGTGTGTGTGCGCGCGCAGACAGAGGATTTGAAGCAAGGAGAAGAATCTCAGGGAGAATGGATAAGAACAGATTCCTGGTCTTTGATTAAATGAATAAGACTCATGAAGCACTTAAAAGATTACCTGGCACAATGTAAATGCATGGTTAGGTATCAGCTATTCTGAATCTTAGACCCCAACCCCAAATGCCTACACGGACAAAGTAACTCCCAGGAATAAACGGAGCAAGAGCCATGAGGACAGCAGGGAATCGAGAGCACATGGTGGTCCAAAGGGGGCAGCTGCCACTTGTCTCCAGTGGATTGGTACCAAAAAGAGATATGGACCAAGTGCTGCCAAATAATCTAACTTTTCTAGAGAAGTTGGAAATTTGAATTTTTATGTAAAAGTTTGGAATTTTTAAATATAGACACCTGATTTTCCAAAGTTCATGAACTGTGTGCCAATAGTCCAGAGGCTGCCCTTTGGGAGGCTTCTGCCTCAAAGGAACTAGAAATCCTGAGCCTGTCCTCCAAGGCAGGACTCTGCCACAGGGGAGCAGAATGCTAGAACTGGAGTACAAGGTTGGGATTTGATTACAGGAACAAGTGACTAAAACTAGGACACAGGGTTAGGATAAGAATAACAGCAAGCTTGACTTAGTGCTGACTCACCTGAACTACCGAGCTAGGGATTCTTAAATCTTTCTGAACAACAGTCATTTGGGGTCAGACAAGAAATGGGGTTGAAAGCTGAGTGGTAGGAGTTAGTGGCCCCAGTTCTGGAAAGACCAGATCTCTGTTAGAAGAAGGCAAAGAAATGCATTAAAGACACACAGTGTCCACTATTCTGTCCTTCACTCTTCCCATCTTCCTTCATTAATCAAACATTTATATTAGGATTACTGTATACCTGACACTAAGTAAGTAACAAATATTAACTCAGTCCTTAAAGCAATCCTATAAGATAGATTCTGTTAATTTCTTTATATTACAGATAAGAAAACTGAATCATAAAGAGATTAAGTAATTTTTTTCAAGGTTGCACAGAATGAATTTAGATAGACTGGCTAAAGAGTTTGAGGTCTCACTTAACTCCTATCCTATAGCTTCTTATATTCCCTCTTTTCCTCCCTTGTTTTCTCTCAGTTTGGGAAAAACTTTGCCTTCCCCTCTGCTTCATGTGGCTTTGGGCGGAAGACAACGTGTTACAGAGGCAGAGATCCATTTAGATTTTAAGGAATTTTGTGTTCTTAGTCTAGAAAAACTCTTTGCTATATCCATTGGCAGAGCAGATGAACAGTGCTTTGAAGTAGACATGGAGCACAGAGACTTGATTTTGTAAGTAGGACTGCTTTCTTGTGGTAGATCTGTATTATTTCAAAACCTTCTATTAGGATTCTCATGCCTGAACTGCCAGATGCCCTCATGTACAAATAATTTATCAAAAGAATTTAAATATTTTTGGAGATACTTGATTGATATCCCAGTTAATTCACTAGTAAAATAAGTTACATATAACAAATTAATCCAACTGCTTTCTGTTCCCTAAATATCAACTTTGTATGTGACTTTGAGTTCTTCCAAGGGCCTTTTTTTTTTTAACCTTCAACTTTTTTGTGCTTAATGCAAAACATCTCTGAGCTTTCTTAAGTCAGATCTTTAGAGAGGACTCCTGAGCAGTTTGGTGTGGTGAAAATGCCCCAACGTGTTTCATGGCAATGTGTTCTTAAGCAACTCATTTAATTTTTCTGGATCTAAATTAATCTTTAAGACAGGAATGATAATACCTACCTCAGAGGCAATTGTGGGGATGAAATAAAATCATGTGTGTAAAAATCATGCTTTTTTCAAAAGTTTATTTATTTATTTTGAGACAGAGAGAGAAGGAAAGAGAGAGAGAGCAGAGGAGGGGCAGAGAGATAAAGAGGAAGAGAGAGAATCCCAAGCAGGCTCCAAGCTGTCAGCACTGAGCAGGACTTAGGGCTCAATTTCACAAACCATGAGATCATGACCTGTATTGAAATCAAGACTCAGACACTTAACTGACTGAGCGTCCCAGACACCCTGAAATGATGCTTTGTTAACTTCTGGATCATAGTTTTTATTATTCATTTTATTTAAATAATAAAAACTTATGTAGGGATGCCTGGGTGGCTCAGTCTGTTGAGTGTCTGACTTCAACTCAGGTCATGATCTCACAGTTCATGGGTTCAAGCCCCGTGTCAGGCTCTCTGCTGACAGCTCAGAGCCTGGAGCCTGCCTCTGATTCTGTGTGTCCCTTTCTTTCTGCCCCTCCCCTGCTCATGATCTGTCTCTCTCTGCCTCTCAAAAATAAATGAATATTAAAAAATTAAAATAAAAACCTGTGTAGTAACACATGCTAGACCCTGAGAGAATGGTAAATATGACTATTTCCCCCCATATAAACATGAATGCATTATCTATTGAAAATGGCAGATGTAATGCACAGCCATTAATGTAGATATACTTTGGCTCTTGGCACAGATCCAACTCTCCTTTCATTCCTGACTCACTGGGTAACCTTGAACAAATCACTGTTCCGTTTGCAGTCTATTTTCTCATTCCCCAGTGCTCTATACTTTGTTTTCCTCTTTTCTTTCTCATGTTCTAGTTGTTCACATAATTTCAGGTCTATTTAATGAAAAAACGATCTCAGAGCTCCCTAGAGCATTTCAGTCATGTTGCATAAGAGTATTTCCTTATTCAAAAATATTACCTAAATGACAAATTTTAACATGTATTATTGTCCTTCTTGCAAATAATTTCATTACAAGTAAATATTAATTTTGCCAGTGAGCAAGTTTGATTTTAGATATATATTGTCCTTGTGGAAACTATTCCTTGGCATGCATATAAACAGCAATTGAATAACTAGAGGAAATCTGTGGTCAAAGGAAATTTTTAAATTAAGTGTCTAATAAGGCACAAAAATATTTAAAGAGGTTTCTGCCTTTTTTAGACAGGAAGTTAGGGGTTATTAGAGCTCCTAAAGTCTCTACCATTAACAAATGGGAGAGGGGATGTCCCTGAGATTCTTATGCACAAAGACTTCAAATAAACTTGTTCTTTCATGATGTCATGATATTTTAAGGTTTAGTATGACCTTACATGTGGTATAATCCCACCTCTTCTGCAAAGCAGGAATCCTCTATATGAGGGTTAAAAATCACTCAAGTAAAACCAAAGAGAAAAAGCAAATTGCCACTTCAACACTGTAGTTTACATTTTTCACTCTTATTATTACTGAGTGAATAATAAGTCTTATTATTCTTCCCCATTTTATGTTAAATATTGTCTTATGGCAGTTGAGGAATATACTGTGTTCTTAAAGAGTTCACAGTGAGTGGAGATTGCATATGATCTGTAAGTCCACATCCCTGAAGGCTGATTCAGCGACAACATACCATGTTACTCTCTCAGCACTCTGCAACCAACTGACATGGAAGCCTCCCTCCTCTCCTGACATACTTCTGTCCTTTAGTAGACTGGCCAGAGTCGTATACTGAACACCATCCAAACAAACCCCATTCTTTCTGCTTTAGAAAAGATAAAATTGATCAGAGAGATTCTACAATGCCTTTTTCTCCATCCTTCTCTACAGTTCATTTTATAATGGTTATATTTTGACTTGTTTTCTGGACATTTACTGTAATGAATAGTATACTCAAGAATCATGAGTTTTAATCTTGTTAAGGGACTTGGGATCCAATGAATACAAATTTCTCATTTTATAGATACAGACATTCTAGCTCAACTAGGAAATGGTAGAGCTTGGTCTATCATTTATTTTATCCTACGTAACAGTTTTTGGTGTGCAACCAATAACCACATAATCAGTGGCATATAACAATAGGCATTTATTCTTCCCATAAGTGTTTGGTGGTTGGCTGGGCCAGCTGCTTTAGACTGTAGATTACCAGGTTGGCTTCATGTGTTTGATTCTGGGGCTCAGAGGGTGGGACAGTACTACCCAGAGTATGTTATTTTCATTGTAATGGCCAAAGCACAAGAGGACAAGCCCAGTACACAAACAGAGTTGAAGGCTGTCTTCACATGACATGTACTAACACCCCACTGGCCAAAGCAAGTGATATTGCCAAGCTCAAAGTAAAGGAAGGAGTGAATATTTGCTAAACAAGAAACTAATTTACCATACCAAAGTTTTGAATAAAAGGGCTAAGAATTTGTATATTTTTAAAGAAAAACAGGTATGAAAGAAAGAAACTTACACTTTAAAAATATTAGTAGGTCAATGATAATAAATAATCACAGTG